CAATCACTCTCCCAAAAATGGGTGATTTTCGATATTTGCGGGGGTGGCGACGCTACGGGCTATTGAAAGATGATAGAACCTTATCAAAATGTTAGCTCTAATCGTTTCCAACAATAACTAATCGGTATACACCAATTTCTGACAGCAGAATCGAAAAAATGAGTCATTGCCACAAAAAAAGTCGATTTTTGAGGAAAAAATTTCATGACGTTTTGGCTGCCAATTCAAAAATTTCTAACAAGCAGTTGATTCTGAAAATGCTCTATGCCCCCGCTGTAATCTCCAGACATTCCGCTTTCTTTCTACCACTTGTTTCAGACGATTCAATATCATCCAAGTGGAGAACGGTTGACGTATTTTCATAAAAAGCAAAAAATGGTAAATCCTTACATAACCTCAAAAATACCGTAACTTTTTCGAGCTGATATCCAAAAATTGGCTAAAATACTGGAAAAAGATGTCGCTTCCGACGTGCAATACTTTCATTAGCTTATATTTCCATTTTTGTCTAAATAAAGAATTTTTATTTAAAAAACCGCACGAATTAACTGGTAGACCCAATAAATATTTGTTTTTTTATTCTATTCGAATCAGTGTCATTACTAATTAAAACACGTAGAGTGCACACGGTTATTTCTTCTGTGAAAATAGTTCTATTTTCAGCATAATTACGTATTCAAGCGAAATGTGATGATAAATTGAAATTGCTACTGGGAAAATCAAATTCAATTTTGCAAATTGTTTGCGGCGACTACGGTAACGCCGTTACGGCGGCAATCTTTAGTGACATTTCTCTGTAAAACAAACAACATGGCTTATATTGCTATTTTGTGGTTGGTTTATTTTTGGCCCTTGTGCCTTTTCATCTCTATATTGTTTTGTTGACTACTCTTATACCATAAATAAACAGTGAAATATGATGAACGATACTGCCTGAGTTGAAGACAGAAACAGAATACACAGAACACGAGAAAAAACGGCAAGAAACACAATTAACCTTAATTAAAGTGTAACGATGTGCAGCACATATACAAACAATATGGCCTCAGTTGACTTGTCAGGTATTTAGCATAGAATAGAATAGCAGAGCATTGCTGTTGGGTGTATTCTTGCAAATGGGCTGACGGAACCGGGAGATGCTCAAAACCGACAACAAAAGACAAATGGAATGGAATGGAATAGAATGAACATTATTTTTACATAACAAACTAGAACAGCTCTATAAATTATTTGAACTTTTCTGTAGTGAAACAAACTAACTTTTCCGAGTTACGCAAACAAAAACACGCGCTCGCTGCACATATGCGTGCTCTGCTTACACTCTATTGCACAATAAATTCTGCACTGCATACGGTTCTCCACATAATTTCATCACAACACATTTCACGAAGCATCAAACAATTCAACAATACTTTTACATGTTTGCCTTATTTCTGCTTTCGTAGTACAGATTTACATTTTCGATATGTTATTAATATGTTATTGCCCGACATATTTATTATTATGTTATGTTGGGATTTTTTTTTATCTTAATAACGTTATTAAGATTCAGCATAATAATAACATAATATGTTATGCGTTACATCGGGTGTTATCTTAATAAATCCTAAGATTCGGCGGTAATAACATTTTATTAACTATAATAATAACATATTATTAAGATGCAATCTTAATAACGCTTTTTTCGCGCATTCTTTTCCCTAGCTGGAGAGAAAAAAAGCACTGTACGGTGTACACACCTATAACAATGCAGACAAAATATGGTAAATTGATCCTTTCAAGGTCGGGACTGGCGATTTCCTAAACTTAATGGTTAAGTTCAATACATGATAATTCCGTTTCAAAGAGTCATTTTAATTTCATTGCAACAGTGCAAAAATTCATGTGTGTACTCCGCAGTGAAAAACAACTTGTCAGTGCTCCGGCGAAAGAAATGCGCGAAAAAGCGTTATTAAGATTGTATCTTAATAATATGTTATTAATTGAGTTAATAAATCCATCTTAATAATATGTTTTTATTATAGTTAATAATATATTATTAGCGCCGAATCATTGGATTTATTAAGAAAAATCCAACTTATTTAGTAACATATTATGTTATTATTATGCTGAACCTAAATAACGTTATTATTATGTTATGTTGGACCAATATATCGGCCGTTATTATTATGTTATTAAGTATAGTTAATAATATGTTATTGCCCGTATATCTGTATTTCGTAGTTGTGGTTTTTGCATTTTTCTCATCCAGTTTGCATTAAAGTTGAGCGCACACGAAAATACGCTAGCTCATAAGCAGTTAGATCAACACATTTTTGATTTGAACGTTCTGTGATCTTTGATTTATTTTGGATGTAGAATTGAATGAAATATCTTTTGGTTGCGCTTTCAATGAGGGCACGCTCATCATACCCATTCGAATTGTGGAAACTCCGCTTAGTTTCGTTACATGATCCAACCTCTGCAAACAAATTTGTTATTTTAAATCAAATTCAGATTATGTGATGGTATATGTGTTTTTCAAGCTCTCATTCTCAGAACATTTCACCGGCATTTTGAACGGATTTTATTTTTTGGTTTTCAGTTCCATTCTTACAAACCGTTCAGCTTTTTATGCGTTTTAACACATCTCTAACACTTTTCTTTCGCCTTTGGATTTGCATTTCAATAGATTCCTACGACTAAGTACTTCAAGTAGTTTTTGTCGTATAATTAAATCAAACCGAAATAGATCGAAAAATATGATTAATCGGAATAGTAATGAATGTCGATTGGATAGTTTTAGTCAAATCACATCGAAGGCATGAAAGAAAAGTTTTCCGGCAGTAGTGGTGGTTGCTGTGATTTCTGCTAGGAGAATGCCACCCTTTCAACCTTTTGCAGTACGACAAACAACGAAAACTTTTTACAATTCACTAAAAGTCCAAAGAACTAGTTCTAAAAACACTGTTGAACGGAAAATAGAAAAGTTTATCAGTTTAGTTTGGGGGCAATAGCAATTTTTTGTTGGCTTTGCTCTATTTCGTTTCAACCATGGCTTACGTTGTTCCGAGTTGTTTTTTTTTTTGGTAAAATTTTATTGTTCTTCCTGGTTGCTGCTACCACAAATCCGATAAATTTCCTTTTTATTTTGACGCACAATAAGTTTTGAACACTTCCGCACGAATCACATTAGATCAACGTAATTTCATAAAATTTCATGTCAAAGTACTGTTGCTGGAAACTTCCAGCGAAAAAAAAAACAAATGTCTATGAAGCACGGATATAGTGATGGCTCATTTAATAACCGATACTTCGTCGCGAAAATTACATAGAAATTTCTATACACCGCCAACAACACCTTCAAAGAAGTGTGCATGTTGAGAGGTTCAAAGTAGCAATTGAATCACTCAGAATTATTAATGAATCTTTGAATTTTAATCGATAACATTCAAAGTGTGACACAGGGTTTCATTCATGACAATTGATATCAGTGGCATTCACCATGACTTTTAAACAAATTAACTTCGACGGGTTGGTCGGAAAGTCGGTTCGATATGACCGAGCGGCCCGTTTCGAATACCGCTACCTCCAAATATTTACCATTCCCTTCTAAAAATGAATAAAGAATGAAGCGTAAAATTCGATATACACAACAGCACATCAAGTTCTACCATCGACAAACTTCTTGAATTAAAATCGATTGGATGATAATTATTTTATTAGCTGTCGATGTAATCAACACGATGTCTATCTAATTGAAATAATTGAGCGTCAGCCAGTTTGAAATCGTAAAGCAGCCGCATATGTAAATTTACAATAAAAGCCTAACGAAATGGCTGTTAAACTTGGCAAACAATCGAGAAACAATTTTTAACACAAACAGAAGAAAATATAAAGTAAAATTCGCATGGGAATAACTAATTGTCAATCAAGATAAAGGCGACGGTTGATGTTATTCGTCGTGGTTGTGCCGCGCCAAACAAACATATGTATCGAGGTGTTGGAGTGGCAGCGGCAGCATGCGTGCAATTCATCTATCAATATCGTAATTTCGTGGAGAAAGGCGCCATGCAAACACTCGAAGAGAAAATAAATGCAATTAATATTGCCACTTTTTGAACGAGAGAGACTGACTCAAAATAACTTCGCGCTTGTATTTCCGGCACTAAACCAATTTCTCCTTTTTCCATTCAGTTAATGGAACTATTTTCGTTCGTCAAAATTCGCTTCACTTGTCATTTGCGCAAATGTACGGTTTGAATTGATGTTGTTATTGCTGCTGTGGCTGTATGCAGTGCACCGCCACTTTTCAAAAAGTCAAATTCATATTTGTAAACAACAAAATCCAAACAAAATGATAGAAGTACTTAATCATAATTATTTATTTATTGTTTTCGTTTCTCTTTTCAGACCGTATTGGCGGATTGTAGGCGAAGCAAAGAGCTAGTGCGCAGTACATTTATGAATGAGAGCAATGGGAATATCTGTGGCAAAAGCAACGTAAATTACAGAAACGCATTTTGCCATTGACAATAACATTACACCGACTCCATTCGACTCGATTCGACTCGACAGAATATAATTTAAATTGAACAAATAAAATTTCAATTGCACATTCGAAAACAAACTGAAGAAGAACATTCACGTACACACACTTACGGTTTACAGTAGATACATAAACACAATCACATTTTATACACGGTGAATGAACACACAGTGAAATCGTCATCGTGACAAAACTGTGTATTCAAGCTGTAAACCGAATTCGAAACGGTTTTTGACATGTTTCAATGGAACAAATTGATGATTGTTGTCATCGATTTGAACGGCTTCGCCATCAACGACATCAACATATGTGCACTATACGACCGAATGACCACCACCATCACATTCCAACAGTTGCAATTCAGTCATTAGACACAGTTCGTGCACTTCATCAGACGGTTGTATCGCTACGCAAAGCGCTTGAAGACGCACATCGCGAAATCGACTCACTGAAAAAACAAATCACTGTAAAAGACGACATTGAAGAGGGCAAAAAGTTTCGCGACCAACAATTAACCAAATCAAATGAGAGCCTATCACATTTACCGTTAACTATTGATTTGAGCACAGTCGACGACGACGACGACGACGACGACGCCGACGGCACACAATCCAGACAAAAGCAATCAAATCGAAGCACATTCACAGTTCGCAATAGCGATGAGAATAAAGCGGCCGATGTGCCACTCATACATCGTTCGAGCAAATCGCTAAATTTAAACGATCAATCAGATTCATCCAGCCGCCAAGCGGTCACCAGCAAACATTCGCAGTTAAGTGAACATTTTGAGCAGCACGTTACAACGCACGAGAGCCAACACCAACAACTTGTGGAGCATCCAATCCAAACTGATATCAAAGTAAAGAGCCCTGACACTCGTACAACAAAGACATCACTTACGCTGCTGCCACATAAGCGGCTACCACAAATGGCTTCCAAAATTGATGTAAAAATTAAACTAACATCGAATTTTCAAATTGACGGTAGTGAAAGTGGCTCCGAAACAACAGGCGATAGTAATTCCGGTAAGTGTGGGCAAATAAAATAAAAAACATACAACACATTACACAGATCAATTGAACTGTTTCGAAGAATTGAAATAATGAAAAAATCACATTGAAACGAGAAAAAAGCAACTTGAAATCAATAAACTAAAATAACATGTACTTTGCAGAAACGGTAACGCCAAGAGAATCATCGACCGACACTGCAAACGACAAAGCGAACGTAAATGTTGAAACGAGTGATGCTATCGAAGTAGAAGGTAACCAACAGAATATACCGATTGTAACAGCTTCCGCTGAAAATATCCAAGTAGACGAGACACGAGACTCAGAAACGAACCAAGAATCAGAGCAACAATTCGACACCGAAGGTGCTGTCGGAGGTATTGATGACGACTCCGTATTTGTTGATGATGGAGGTGTAGCGATCGCATCAAAGGTTGCGTTATTGCAATCTTCACCGCATCGTTCATCGTGTGACAATGATGAAGAAGTTGATGATATTGAATTGATTTTGTCATCGGACGATAAAGAATTCCCACAAGAAGATTTAGTATCAATATCATATTACGAGCCATGGCAAATGTGCGGCCAATCCGGCACTCCGATCCTAGTGAATTTCAATAACATTTCATCGGACAATGAGGGCGCCGACGATGGTGAGAGTCGTGAAAAATTGTCAGCATCACCGTCACCGATCGACCCCGACCAGTTCTACAATGCAATCAAAGAGAATGTGGCACAGCAACAGCAACAATTGAGCTTAGAGAGCAGTGATAGCCTAAGTTTAGGCGAAAATATGAGACAAAGCTATGACATTAATACGAAATCATCGAGCTTGGATAAGGAGTCTTACCCAAAGACTAGTGATGAAAATGGTTTCATGCGCGACGAGAGTTTTGATACATTTGAACAGGTAAGAAACCGATCGATTGCAATCAATTGAAACTGAATGTATTAATTGACCAGATTTACACTTTCATTTAGCCTGGATTCAGATCAACCATGGGCAGACGTTGGACCAATTATAATGTGTTCCAAGAGACAGATATTTCGAAAATTGGAATAATTGAGGAGGGAGTTCCAGACAAAAGCAGACGTAACACATGCCCCAATCCAACGGCATACAGACCAATAATTCATCGCGAGGCAATCGGACGATTTTTGAATAACAATAATAACAATGCTGGCACTTCCGTACAGCGATGCCCGCTATCAGTGAAATTTGCGCGAAATGCTCGCACGCATCTGTCATCGGTGAACAACAATCGAGCACATGGAACAGATCCAGGCTCAGTTGGGCCCAAGCGAAGTAGCGCAGTCCAAACAGACATTACATTATCCACGCTGCCAGAGCATTGGCGTTCTGAAAGCCAATTGATGGCTGGCTTTAACAACGGATTCTTTACGTTACCATCCAAATTTATCGCAACTCCTGGCCAAAACGTTTCCAAACACCCATTAAAGTAATTATTTTCGATTGAAATGGTTTAATTTTTCATTTGTTGATACATAGCACTCGTTCTTCTTTCAGAATTTCGGAAAAAACGCGAGAGGCACGACGAGTTTTGCTAAGTGATATCAATTTCACCAGCATGGTACCCGAATTGTCACGATCTGCTGACCATTTATGTCATGGGGAGGAGCAACAAAATTCCGAGAATAACAATGAAGACGCCAACGAATATCTGAAGGGACCGTTTCTCAAAATGCCAGACTATGGAAATAGAGGGTAAGACAAAGACAGAAAAGCTTTATATTTGTATGTGCTTCCAGCTTCTCTATTTACAAAATGGTTGCATTTGATTCTATCAAATACAGAATAACGCCAAGTATGAGCCTAACTTCGCCGGGTGTCTCGCAATGGACTGTGAACGAAAGTAGCTTTGGCACACAAACAATGCAAACGGATAACAATTGGAGCGTACAGCACGGTGACTCGTTCGATTCGTGTAAAAGTTATTCGATCGGTAAATTTTACACTCGGCAATAATACAAAACGCATTTATAACTCAAACAAAATCGACTAATTTATTTTAGGTTCGAAATTGTCGTTTGGCAAGCATAATCGGTCAAGAAGTTGTCCATCGGTCCGATGTGCTCTTTGCAAGCATCGTCATCATGGTGGCATCAAAATGTCCGAAAGTATGCACTATACCCCGCGTGTCACATTTCAAGAGGCGAAAGGTAATTCGGTGCGTGGATCGTTGCCAGATTTAAGACCTGAATGTGCATGCGGTTGCCTTCGATCGCGAATCACATCACGTTCCACTGCATTTCGACACGGCGATTCATGCGGCTCAACCGAAAGTATTTTAGATGAAGCTGAAGATTTTCTGCGTGAATCAATTGATGGCGTTTTGCTGCATGATTCCGACACAGCACATTCAAGCGGATTCCTTGCAAAAGGCACATCGCGACGATGCTCAGAGAATGATATTAACAAAAAGGGTAAGCGACAGCATTTTCAATTACTCTTTCCTTCCGCCTGTATTCTAATCAGATCATTTTTAGATTTCAGCCCGTCAAAACAGACGTTACCATTTCTACCAAAAACGTCAAAATGTTTGAAGCCAGGACATTTGGCTAAAGTGATTGCTAAAAATGGACGCGTAGTCATTGGGCGCGTTCGTTATGTTGGACCGTTAGCATCAAGTAATGCTGAAACAACTGGGATTGATAATGAAAATGAAACATATGTAGGCCTGCAATTGCCGAACAAGATCGGCGATTGCAATGGATCATTTGAGGGTCGCAAATTTTTTGATTGGTAATTCAATTTATATATATCATTGACTGAATAACATCAGTCGCCCCAATTGATTCCAACTGATTGTTTTTGTTTTTGATATTGACAGCGAACCGCAGCATGGAATTTTCGTCCCATTTCAGAAAATTGTAATGGCCTGGACATCCTAAGCTAGTTGTCCAAACAAACAAATTTTTACTCAACAAGAAAAAGTACAACTGTATGCATTCTCATTTGTCACATTCATTAAAACAACAACAACAACAAAAACTGCAAAGAGAAAGCTCATTATAAAAAACTTTTGTGTGTATGTGTGCATTGATGTATTTCAAGGGCTTGTATTTAATTGCAAAAGGGAACAAATTATTATATGTATGTATCCATAATTTAGAGTGAATAGGAGAGAAAACTAGCAAAACGCTCATTTTTGAGACTGTAAAACCTTTGTAAAGGCTGTCGGAAATTTAGTGCTCATGATTTTCAACACATACAAAGTGATGCTTTATTTTGCTAATGTTGACACTCTTATATTATGTGGTTTAAAACTTATGTGGAAAAAAAAGAGATAAATAAAAAAAACTGATACAGAATGTCCACTAGCGATGATGTCAGAGGTCATGAACAATTTACGAAAACAACAGCAACAACAATCAATCACATCAAAAGCGTTTCGCACAATGTGAAACTGGTGAAAGCATTTGCTATGTATGGAAAACCGTATTCGAAACAGTACAACTAAGAGCTAAAGTCAAAGATTCGGAATTTGTATATTTGTTAGGAAAGATGTTAAGAGAAACAAAATAATGTGTGAACAAAATCATTAAGAATATCTTATTATAATTAACAATAAAAACTTGAACAAAAAAAAAATCTTGAACAACTTAATTCGCAAACTGACACTTGATATATTTGGTTATCTCTTTCTTTCTTCCTTCATTATTGCCGAGATTCTATTGACCTCATTACTGCTCAATCGATTCAATAATACAATTTTTCCAGTAACTAAATCTGAAGCATACGTCAGATGACATGAAAAAACAATCAGAATAAGCGACAAAAATGACCTTCACACAAATGTTCGACTGAAAGTAATTGAAAAATGATACCGGTTCTTTTCTTTTTACACAGGTAGGTTTTTTGATAGCCACTATCATCGTCTGGTATTCGCATTTTTGTGAAGCTAAAAACTATACATTATCATTATCATTATAAGACAACAATTGAAAATACAAACTGTATTCTACTCGGCATTTATCGACTGAATCGTTCACAAAATACGATACGAAAAAACGGTCCAGAAATGTTACTATGAAAAAAGGAAGAAATCATTCACTAAAATAATCGATGAATTAGGAAGCGATTTTATTTGGTGATACGCTATGATACAAGTTGTTAAATCAGTGTAGATCAAAATCTCGGAAATGTATTTTTAGTGCATGTGTTCTAATTTGCAAGTGTTCACACTTCGAAATGACGACCGTTTCAAACAAATCACTTACATTTCTACTCAATAAACATATTGTGTCGATGATCGACACCTTGACTGCTCAATGTTTTTCATTTAACGAATGAGAATCGCGCGACAAATGAATACGACTTTAATTTAAAGCATGTACGATTATTATGTTGATTTTGCCACTTGCATTCTCGACAGTAATCAACATAATAAATATTTTGGAAACTAAGTTATTGACACTATTACTCGAAATGTAAGCAAATAGTAATCATAATGTTTCGTAGTAAGCGATATGAGCTATTGTTGTTTTCTTGGGCATCAATGACTATGTGCATTGAAGCGCCTAGAAGTGAACGCATGATTCGGGTATCATTTGTGAATTTAAATCGCATATTGACTTGCTATTGTGCATGCAAAACGAGAGAGTCTTCTCTTAACCTCGAACAATTGCACAGCGTACACATAATTTCCGGTTCAGTCAGAAACTTTTGCGTTACGTTTGACAGTCGTGTGTTTGTAAATATCAGCCCATTTAATATTTTAGTTTCACTTTTACTCTCCAATTATTACTATTATTCCACATCTAAATTGATATTATGCCAATATTTGCATACGGTATGCATACCGGCAAAAATGCTGACAGTAATCAATATTCAATGGTTATTATTGTGGCAATTTCGGATAACGAAAAGTGCGACACATGATGTGTAATGCGTTTGCCCTTTTCAAAGTTTTTGACGTATGTGGGCTGGTGTAAAATGGGACCAATTAACGAGTCGTCTGTAATTGAAAAAACTCATAGAATTTTATAAGTTATTGCTAATAACGAAGACACATTCTCTTGCATGTGTGTTTTTGCAATTGCTGTCAACTGAAATAATGAAGGTTTCACACGTATTGCCATTGAAATCGTATGTTGATCGCTCTGCACCCATTGCATTCAGCCCAAAAACAATTCCAGAATAGAATTTTGGACCTTGCTTTGCGTTTCTAATCACAAATTTTCAATGCCAATGTCTTCATATGAATAAATTGACTATTTCAACTAAAAACATTATGACATTGTTGCACATTGACCGCAGCACATGCTTGGTAGCACGCACATAGTTTGAATAAATGCGATTAAAAATTTATCGCAAACATTTTTGTAGTTGTTTCTTCTGCCTTATTGATATGCAATTGAGTTGAATAGCTTGAATGTCGTAGATTGGCCGGAAATATGTGGAATATTTTGATTTATATTGACAAATTGATTCGAAAAACTGATGACCGATTTATTGTGTGCGATTCTTGGCTTTGGTATCTTTACGCCCGAGGGAGGCTAAACGTTGCCCAAATCAATTCGAATAATTCGATCCGTGGATAGTTGCAAATTGCAATTATATTAAATTAGCACACCATGACGATAGTAAAGTATTCGGATCCATTCAAATTCATACACCCAGTATTTTTCCATGTGCATAAATTTTCGATCTGAGGCGGTATGTTTTGTTTACTGTTTGATTTGGAGAAAAAGTGATAATTTGATGGAAAATTTGGTATGGTTCGATTGTTTCACACAAAACAAAACAGTATTGCACGCGTGCTTTGAAGTCGTCACTTTTCAATTGATTCAAATAATCCGAATGTTCAGCCTTGCCTATGGGAACATTGGGGCGCCATTGTTTCGCGCATTGAATTGTGCGCCCGTTGAAATCACATTGAATCGTGTGAAATTCGAGAAAATAAATAAATCGCATTTAATTCATCCAATTGACCGAAACAAATGGAAAATAGCCGGAAAAAACAATAGCCACATACGAAATAATCTAGTCATGGTTTAGTGTAGCTGGCATATAGCGCTAGTAAATTCGATGTGTCAATATTGGCATTTGTAATGTACACGACTTTGACAATCGATGTGTGCGTTTTTTGTGTATGACAAAATTGCACGAATGAATTATGTTAAATATTGTTCGGCTGTCATCGTCATCATAATCGATTCAAAGAAAAATCAGTTTTACGGCCCGAAAAGAAATTAAATACCGAGAGTTTTGCATCGCAAAGTGTTGTTGAAAAAAAAATGGTTCAGTTTATTTGACACCTCACTTTCAATACGCATATCAAACATTGCGCAAACACACTTGACACTCTCTTCGCATGCCTCTTCTTTCTACTGTGATTGGTAGTAAACAATGAGCCAAAATGTGAACACACAGTTTCTAGTTATCGTAAATTTGGCGCACAAATAAACAAAAAATACGACACGTACAAAACAATTAAGTATATTCAGTGGCTGATTTCGACAAAACATCAAAAATTTATGCAAGAAAAATGTTGCTAGTAAAATCCATGCAACGCTCTCACAATTTTCCGAAAAGAAGAAGAAAGAAATGTGACCATTACCGAATCAACGTGAAGAGAGAAATTATTGTACAGCAATTTCGGGCTATGACAGACGATTTGTAACGATAGAAATATACCAAGCTGAAATTGCGATCAGTTGCATATAGCCGATTATTTTATTGTTATTTAAAACAAATATTTATTATTGTTTTTTCTTCTTCTTCTTTTGTTTTCTTCCATTCGACTGTAATACGATATCTGATGTGATCAATTCTGCGGCATTTCGTACAATTCCGTGTACCTATCGACCGAACGGTCGACCGATAATGTGCATATTTTTTTTCAAATTCTCATCAGCAGTAAGTTGGACGTATCAGTTGCCGGCAAATACATAATCTGTGCCGACAAATCGAGCGAAAACATCTAAAAGTCATTATTTAATTGCAGTTTGCACGTTTCAGTGAACTTAACATTTGTTTTACGTGAATCAGCAGAGCAAAAAGCAAAAACTATTCGTTGGTTGTGTGTGTGTGCGTTCATTAGAAGTTGATTACAAAAGGAAATTGGTTCGTTTAAAGTTGGCATTTAGAATCTACACAAACAAATAGATGAGCAGAAGGAGAATATACATTCAAAATAAACTGAGACAGCTATATTGACAATCAGAGTGCAAATAGGAAGAATCGCATCGCATCTCAGCTGGACACCGAAATCTAAATCAACACACAAACACACAAAATGAGCAACAGAACACATGCCTAATTATCGAATTTAATAGATAACCGAAACGATAGAACCAAACTAAACGACAAAATCATCGTATACATTGTATCCGAAGTGAATACAATGTGAGTTAAGCACACTACCACCACCACGATACTATACGCACGTAGACGTATCACGATGCTGACATTAAACTTTGGGGCGAAATTCTTTGTATGTATTGACTGATTGTGTGAGATGTTACTTTACGGATAGTTCGGAGAGTTACTGTGATTATTTGTGACAATTTCTGTTGAAGTGGAAAGGAACGAAGCGACGAATGAAATGCAAAATACGAAGAAAAAACAACCAGAGAAAAGGCATTATAATTCCCATAAATATCATGTATTGGGTTCAGTTGAAACGCTGTGTTCAAACTAAACGCCTTTCGGCTCGTCGCTTGTTTTCACACTGCGCTTCGATTATATTCATCAGAGCTCGTCTATGATAAAAACGGCATTTTTGCAAAACATTTTCAAAATTCTTTAAGTTCATGAGTGATCAACATCATTGTGAATGTTTTTTTTCTTCATTTTCTTTTATTGTCTATTTATTGAAATAGTGGTTTAGTTTTTGTTTTTTTGTATAATTTTTTTAAAATTCTTTTCGTTTACCGTTGAATTCAAATTTTAAATCGTTTCGCAAATTAAAGTGATTGAAACTTGATTTTGTTGTAAAACAAGGAAGAAAAAAAAAGTCTTGTCTATATTGATCATAATGGTGAAGTTGAACTAATAAATAACTGGTGTGTGATAAACGAAAATATAAGACATTTGATTATCTAATGAACGTTTCGGTTTTGGACAGATTTTCCGTTTTTGTTTCTCTTTCGTTTTTGGAATTTTGTGCAAAATCATCAGTGCTAGTAAATTGAAATAAATCATTTCGGTTCAATTTTTTTTCTGCGAATCTAATCAAACAACATGGTTTTCGTGGCACCACAGAAGCAAATCTGTTCACTCGGCGGTAAGTAGCAGAAACAGTTATTTACAAAAATCTGACTCACGAATGAGAACAAATTAAGGGGACGCATTTTTTTGGTACTCTTTGCTTGCTTCATCATGTCCAATTTTCGGCATGTGGCAAATGGTTCTAACTGTGCATGTTTATTGTTGTTGCTCTGTTTTCTTGTTCAAAGTTTGAGTTGACCCTGAGAATATGTGAAAACAAAACGAATACTCGATTTATCCACTTATTTTGGTTACGATGCATGCGAATAGACTGGCACTTTTCCGCTGACTTATTTTTGTATTTGCATACGTGATTAAACGAATTGTTTATGTTGGACGATGATTAAATCTGTCAAAGCACCAAGAATCCATAGAAATTCAAGGAAATAAACCGTCAAATCAAGTAAGCGCCTTCAATGGACATTTCCACTATGCGCTTTGCTCCAATGTTTACACAATTGCCAATGCTCAAAATACGGCGTGGAATATTTTTGACATCGATGTACGCACGCAAAACAGAATCGAAAGTCTTTCATCTCCACTTTTTCGATGTCCCTTTTCAACATTTCTTCCCACAGAATCGATCAATTGCATTGAACCTTTAGACCATAATGAAATAGAAAGATAGAGCCTGGAACTGATATAATTTTTTATCTCAAATTATTTTTGACTTTTTTTCCTCATGCTACTGCCCAATGCCCATAGCGCAATTCATTTTTCTATAAATGTTTTTGAAATTTTTTTCCAACAAAAGTCATGATTGAAACGAAAAGTGGGAAATATGCATTTGAATTTAGTTATTCTTATTATACTCAACTTTCAATCAGATGTGAACAAATTGTGCATCGATATTGAACATCTTTCATCAGATGATTCTGATAATCTTCCGAAATTAATTTATGGATCATTCGTCAGCAGACTTCAATGATTTACCTACTACTGCAAATTTGCGTATTCTTTGGCTCCCTCTCTCCATACTCAAACCGAGTAATTGGAGCAAGGATGTTGGATAGACGCGGATTGACGTGAGCAAATGACGTTATGACCAGTTCTCAATTTGAATAACACTCGATCAAATTTGAATGGGATCAGAAGGTAAAACACGATAAGAAATATTGTTGAGAAATGCCATCACCATAATGCTCAAGACAAAATTAGTTGTGATTTGACGACACATTTCAACGCATCCTACGTAAATTCGGTCTCATCGATAGTGATCTATTCTACCGACAAATGAAGACAAGAGAGAGAAAAAGTGTGCTAAAACCGCAATCCATGCGACGGAACAAATAACTGGAATTCTGACTTGGTCGTTACCATACCAATATTAATTGGTCAACGAAAAGAATACAATTAATTTGCATAAGTTAGTTTCAGAAGTGGCTCGTGACGCGATTACCTCCTGCTCAAATAGCACGTTATTTATGATTATTTTTTTTATCGGTCTGTCAATTTGTCATCTTTTTTTTTCATTGTTTCATTTACAAATCGACCAGTTCGTACCTGTTTAACTTTGAAATAAATGTCGCATAATGTCTCTCAATTACAAATCTCTATATACAATAAAAACAACAACGACGAAGTTAACAACAATATCAACACAAAAATCCACGTGACAATTGTTGTTGTGACTAAAATACAGCGAAAGAGTGAAATAGATACTCATCAAATTCGTAATAATAGTTTTGAACTTGATTTTGATTTCGTAGTTTTTGTCTGTTTTGCAACAACAACAACATTGCGTGATTGTCTATGTACTGCATACGATATCAAGAAATATGTGCGTGTATTGAGCACGGTGTCCGAACTGAAGCCACTTCAGCCAGTAGAATGTTCATAGCCAGTGCCCGTTTGTTTTGTTTCTAATCTTCCTCAATTATGTAAACGCGCGCTCAGTCAATTGAAATGGCAACGGTATGTTCTAGTGAGTCGTTTTCAGTAAAAAGAAATCACTAAACTGACTTTTTATTTGTCTGACAATTATTTTTTTTTCTCGATTTCATTACACGTTGTGCACTCAGATGTTGTTATTTTCAATTAATGAATTATAGAATATTAGCGTATTGTGATTAATTCAATTAGTTCCAAGAGGCATTTATTTAATTTTTTCCTCCCTAACAATTTGGATTAAATCAATGGCTTTTTCATTGGCAAACAATTTTTATATCGATTAGAAGCGGCAAATAATCATGTTAACTAGCCGTGATTTTTTAACGTTGAACTTTCATATTAACACAATATACTCGATATATGATTACGATTTCAGAAGAATTTCATTTACGTTTATCTCCGCCAAACTGAACTAATCTGGTTTTAAATAGGAAAATCAGATCCACGATAAAAGGTGACATACGAGTATGTCGAGTGTTAGCTCATTAGGTTACTGAAATGAATGAAATCGGATTTTGATATATAGAAATTGCACGTGCAATTTAAACTATAACACAAATTATGATTTTGTGATTAGTTCACTGTATGCTAATCGACACTCGGCCAACGTAATTTTTTTTTATTGCTTCATCAAATATTTCTCGATAAATTGCACATACACATCATTAGGACAGTGATAATTTCATTTGGTACTTTGGAAAACTAGTTTTGTCAGTTTTTGTCGCTTTCTGAACGACATTTATTTGGGAAATTTAGAATTGAATCAAACCCGGCAATTTGCTGAAAAATAATGTTGAATTTTTGTTGAACACACTTGACCATTTTTATCATAACTTCAATCAACATTATCAAGTGTTAAGACAAACAATATTTCAGGTGTTAAGAGAAAGAAAAAACCGTCAGAGATTTTTGAGTTTTCAATTATCACCTTTAACCCTCAACTGCATGAATTTTTCCTAGGACTAGGAGTACTGGTATTTGGTTGATTTTTGGCCATAGATAACGAAAAAAATATTCATAATCCTAGATTTTCCATGGTTTAGTCAGGAAATGCGATAGAAATAAGTCAGAGAACAATGAAATCCATTGTTTAAAAGTGTCAAAAATATGTCTAATTTGGAAACCGAATAATTTATTTTGTCAAATTTTCGTTTTCGTGCACATTTTTGTTTATAACTCACCAATCGTACGACATAGACAAATGACGCCAAAGACAAAAATTCCCCTTGAAGCAATGTCATCCGCCGTACGATTCACATTATACAGGTGTTTAAATGATGCCCGCCAAAAGGCGGGCTTATGCAGTTGAGGGTTAATAAGCTAGTCTCGTTTCTCAAACTTTATATTACATTGATCTCACAACCAGAATTTCGGAATTTTGGCAAGTGTTTCATTTTCTTCGTTCTCAATCCATTTGACGTCATTTTCTGTTTCTTTTTTTTCTGTTATTCACAGGCAAAATATCAACGCGCCTGTACGTCGGTTTGATGTTATTTGCATCATGTTTCGTATCATATATGCTGCGTGTGAACATGTCCATCAACATATTAGCCATGGTGCATCATCAAGAAGTCGAAATGATCGGAGACGACAACATAACGGCTATCGTTGAGCCAAATGTAAGTAATCAAACAAATAGAAAATAGTTCGCCCGGCGCCATGAATCCAATTCATGCTTCTATGACAAAAAGCTAGTTTCACGTGTGTTCCTGATTTTCATATGATAAACCACACGACACGACACGACAAGTCTAATCATAACATTTGATCGATTGGTGTAAAAATGTTTTTATTGTCGATCGTTATCCGTGTAAACCATATGATTAGTTTGATCGAACATTGTCAAATCGCTGGGGTACAATGGAAATCACGTAAATACGATAAAAAAGCAGTATTGTCAACGAGTCTCCATTTACAATTTTCGAATGTGGTAATTTTGATCGCATGACATGAAAAAAAATTTATTCGAATCACGTTTGTCTCCTACAACTCTTGATCAATCGATTGTTTTTTTTCTGCTTTTCTCCTTTGAGTGTTTACGTCAGATGCGATGCAGCCTGGGAGGAATATGATTTCTAACTACGTTTTCCAAACGATTTGCTTTTAAAAACAATTATTTTTCAGCGATTCGTTATCAATGGAATATTTCTATAATTTTGAATGTTTTCCACAATTTTAGCTAATTATTCAATTATTTTTTAATTCCCATTTTTATTCCTCCAAAATGTGGAAAATTACGAATTGCTTATCAGATGATCATGTGCAATTATTTGTGACAATTGTGATTTTGCGCTCAATTACTTGCTTCTATATGATACTTATTGAGATTATGAATCACAACATGAACGTTATTTTTCATTTTAAACAAATGTACATCACAATGAGAAATTCCGTTAGTTGTTAGCCGTTTGCTTTGCAATACAAAAAACAAATAGCAAAGCCTATATTCAAGAGCAATGAATAAACTGATTTTTATTTTTTTGCAATAATTGAATAGTATGGACCGCGTTATAATTGGTCAGCGTCTGAGCAGAGTTTTTTGCTTGGATCCTATTTTTGGGGCTATTTGGTGACATCTTTACCTGGAGGCATACTAGCTGAATGGCTTGGCGGACGCGCAGTCGTTGGATATACGCTGGCTGGCAGTGCTGTGATTACAGCACTCACACCAATCGCAGCTGGAATCTCTTATTGGTTTGTCTTTGGCATTCGACTTATCACCGGCGTTTTAGCTGTAGGTGTTATTTTAAATCGAGTATTTTCCATTGAAATCATCAGTTTTCACAGATTTCAACGATTTCTGTATTGATCAATTACAATTTTTGGATTTCTTTAAATCATAGGGAGTTTTGTATCCATCACTGCACAATCTCATTTCAAAATGGGCACCGCCGGATGAACGGGGGAAGTTTATTTCAGCATTATTGGGTGGAACATTCGGGACAGTGATCACCTGGCCTCTTGCGGGTAAATTTTGTTCTCTTCAGTTTTTTCCTCTGTGTGCTAAAACATTAAAATGTGTGAAAATTTCATTGGGTTGACCATTTTTAAATATACATGCTGTTTTTTCTCTAGGAATTTTAACCGAAACATTGGGTTGGGTTTATGCATTTTATGTGCCAGCTATCATAACGGCGGTTGTAACGATTTTGTGGTTTGTGTTCATATATGATTCACCAGGACAGCATCCACGTATTGATCAAACTGAACGTGAGCACATTGAAAAAGCACTGGGTGGAAATATTTCCAAGAAAAAGGTATGTGTCTTTACAAATAATCTATTTTATAACAAAACTCCCTTTTGTTACTACGTTTCATTTTATTCACATCAAATGATTCATTTCATGTTCAGGCCATGCCACCGTTCGGCAATTTACTGACATCGGTGCCATTTCTCGCTTTGACAGTTTTACACTACGGTAATCTGTGGGGATTGTATTTCTTAATAACAGCTGCACCAAAATTCATGAGCGAGGTAAGAGTTTTCGTTATTTTCTCAATGACACAATTCATTAAAGAATTACTATGATAATCAATTTTTTGAAACCAAATTTCTCAACAAAATTTTTCATATTCAAGGTATTGGGTTTTAATATTGCACAAGCGGGTATATTAGCAAGTCTTCCGTACCTTGCGCGATTGTTCTCCGGTTTCATATTCGGTTCGATTGGTGATGCTTTGACAAAATCTGAGGTGATGTCAGTGACTTCGATCCGCAAATCGTTCTGTTTATTTTGTAAGTGAAGAATATTCACATTGTGAACAAAAATTAGAACGTCTATTTATATGAGTGTTGATTTGTCCGATTTTCAGCACATATTTTGCCTGGTTTGTGTTTAATTGGATTGGCGTATGTTGGTCATCATCCATACTGGTGTGTAGCTGTGATCACGATATCGCTCGGCTTCAATGGTGCATCGACACTCACAAATTTGCAAAATAGTCAAGATTTAGCTCCAAATTATGCGGGCACTTTGTACGGTGTGATCAACTTCATCGGTACCACGACTGGATTTTTGACACCCATGGTGGTTGGTCACTTTTCTATAAAAGTGAGTCATATTGATTTCGAGAGAGAAACAACAAGAAGTTTCAACAAATTGTCATTCATAAATTTTATTATTTCAGAATACCCTTGAAGAGTGGAGTATAATATTCATCATTGCCGCAGTTGCTTACATAATTCCAGCCTTTGTTTTCATTTTGTTTGGCAGTGGACAGGTACTCATTGAAGCATCAAAACGAATTATTCTATTCATTTACATATTTAATTTGTATGGCTTCAGGTACAACCTTGGAATGAACCGAAAAAGACCGACGAAAAAACAAGCGATGATACCGTGCAACAACAGGCATAATTTCCGATAATGTGATTTGATAGCGATATAATGTTTAGGACTTAAGAGATAGTTTCCATCGCTTACGGGTTGTGTATTCAAATTCAAGTTTTCGTCGAGTGAATTAGCGTATATTTATAAATTGGTTTTGTTTTTTGTCAAGTCGAACGAAAATTGAACGATTCAACTAGACCTAACAATGTAATGATGGACAACATTTCATATCGAAGCAAGGAGACAAAGTATTTTATGGCATGTTGACTGATTGATCTACTAGTATTTTTTTATGTTTACACCTTGTTTGTTTTATTGTTTTTTTTAATTATCTTGCAAAGAGGAATGTCAATTTTACAATGATGGTCGTATAGTAACCATCTATATGATGGTTGCCACTCGATAGTGGCGCTACTGTCTATGTGATTTAAATAACGTTGAACTTTTCAGTATTTTTTTCTTTGATGTGATAGATTACAAATGATATAACCAGATTTCCATGAAGTAATCATTCGTCGATTGAATGCGTTAAATCTGAATTCATTTTGTAATGTCGTCCGTATCTATCCTTGTCACTTCTGTTGATGTATTGTACTTTAGCCTATAGATTTTACCAAAAGCGATATCTTTGTAAATTAAATAATAATCTTAAGAACGAAACCTACCCCTGGTTGTTTGACTTTTCTTTTCTTTTTTAAATAGGAAGGCGTTAACATTTAATACCTTGTAACGACTCTTATGAGGAAATATTATTTTTTTGTAAATTGTAAAAAAACTATTTTTGGACCAGTTCGGATCAGTTTTTTGGACCAGTTTAAATGCCAAAATTCTTCTATTATTCCATTTGTGCTGTGCACCAATTTTCATCCAAATCGGACCACTTTTTGAAATTTCGATTTTTCGCGAATTTTTTAGGTTTTTGACCAATAACTCTGGAAACTTCCGAGGGCATCCCCGGTTTTTTTTTCTCGGAATAGTTGTTTTTTCGGGGTAAGTTATCACTGGGTAAAGTGGAACCACCCTTCCTGGGAAAAATCCTGGCTACGTCCCATGCCTCGTACATCAAACTGATTTTTGTTTGTAACTTCGCTAGAAATGGTTCTTGACTAAGCTGTCAAACATATACTAACACATTGCGCCTGTAAAGCACATAGATGGCGCTGGCAGTCAAGAATACTCTCAACATATAAGACGTGCTACGGCTATGAGGAAAACGACCACATATTACTGAGACACCTTGTCCCGACAACTTTTACAGCTGAGATCTGACATTCAATCAATGGAAGGAAGCGAATTTGAAGTTTTTATAAATTCTGTAATCATTTTATCACGATAGAAAGATGTGCTTATCACTGGATATCGTGCTAATTTAATGAGAGATAACTCTGATATTCATTTCGTGTTTACAATACAATTACGATTCTGTTACATTAATTCTTAGCGCGGAAGAGAGTGTAAGTATCCCCTCATTAAGACAAAAATATCATCTTCTTTTGTGCGATATCAAAACATTTTCTCTTAATCGATTTTTTTGTCCAGCAAATGTTCACCAGTCCCACTGGTTAATTGTTTTGAGACCAAAGTGTAAAGTAAAAAAGTAATTCATTGAATTATTTGAATCAGTTATTTGGAATGGACATCGAAATCGATATCGTTGTCATATTTGAAAGGTGCTATACATTGAATTTATGGACGACGGTTATGCGTCCAAAACGTAGAAATTTGTCGTCACACACATTTGATAACTGTGATAAAAATATTTGTGAAGAATACGCATTGAAACACACATTTGTTTTCGTTGTTTACACATGTTTGCAACGTTTGTGTTAGTATGTAATGACATACATACTTACCGATCTTTTCTGTATGCATCACATCGACAAAATTGAATATTTGTACTGTGATTTTAATTGTTTCCAAATTGAATACGAGAGATTATATTTTCTTATTGACAATTGTTTACTTTGGCCTATATTTTGGTGTTTTTCTTCTTCTTTCGAACAGACTCGCTTGAATCGTCTCAATGACGGGTACTAACAAGTAGGGCGATTTTCAATTCAAACTTAATTTTGACCCGCAATTCAAAGAATAAATTATATTATTTCAACAGTTTGGTTGCTATATTAAGGAAATTACGTTAGGAATTATAGTGTAAGCGAATCGATATTCAATAGTTGAATGAAAGAGAGGTAAATGTTGACAATTTTAGTAGAATTCACAAATTTTAACCGACGATAAGAATGATATAATAAACAAGATCCTAACTGTGGTAAATGTGCTCAAATCATGTTTTCTATTGTTTCGTTAGACTGGTTAATGAGCATTCCAACTGGTTGAAAACGTGAACTGTTACAAGCTAATGTTCAAACTTTAGTAATTACGAACAATTCGAAATACACTAGCCCGTAAAAGTTTGAGAGCACTTGATATTTTTCACTACAAAATAGAATTTCATCAGTGAACCAAAAGAGAATCAAATAACATATTTCGGAGAGACCGAGATCGATATTGTGCACAGTGTTTAAGTAACCTGTGAAAATTCCAGAGGTACAGAAATAGATCTGAATTTTCTAAAGTTCTCAAAATGGTAGATTTTATATGAAAAGTAAAGGAAATCACATCAAATTGAAATGGATACAGCCTAGGTCCTCGTACATTTTTTTCAGTGTAAAGCTGGCTTACTCTTTATTTCATATGTTGCCCAAAAATTAGAAAATGCATCATTCCAAAAAGTATTATTATTTTGTATGGAAAATGCCAGTGGTTTCAAACTTTTGCAATTTAATGTACATCGTCCAATAAAATTTTAATGACCAAAAACCGAGCGATTGGTGGTTTTCCTCAAAAATGAAATTTCTAATTAAAAACCAATAGAAAGTATTACATTCAAATAGTTACTGGCACAAATACGATTTTCACCTTGCACACATCATGTGGACTATTTACTTATTAGTTCGAAATATTTATCTATTTTTTACGGTATCGCCTCTTAAATCGAAAGCTAGAAAAAATGTCCAAGTGCTTTTTGAATTATATTGCGGCGTTAATACACAATCACGTTTCCTTCATTTGTCAGTCACGTTGAACGATTATTGTGTTATTTTCTTGTTAAACAATCAAAAACAATACAAAAAAAAAACATGAACAAACCATTATCGAAGTATATTCAAGTATGTTGGCAACCAATCGAAGATCAATTGAAAACACTGTAACCAAACTGTACTGAACAGAATGCAAATCCAGTTTTTGTTCCAAGTTGGTGTCAAAAAATTAAATTAAAAAGAATTGTAACAAAGCAAACTCCAGAACATTTGAAACAAAAGAAATGAAATCTGATTGTTTTTTTAAATTTTATTGCAGATTCTGAGTATCAATAGATGTGCTTTATGGAATTGATGAAACAATACAGCATTTGTGATTCAAACAGTGAGAGTTGAGAAGTTCACCGCCAAAAGTGGGTCGTTTTCCAAAGAGCTGATACTTTGCATGTAACAGTTGATTTAGGAAGGAAAAAAACTCTTCTGAAAAGATGCGTACAAGAAATTCATGTAAGTAACCGACAAAGTTACATACTCTGCCAATTTTCACAATTATATTAATTAATATCCACCGTAGACCATAAGAAAAATATCATATGTTGTATAGTCGAAAGACTGATTCTCATAGCCTCAAAACATATTCACTGTATAAACAAAAGAAAGATCATTCGTAATAAACATTCAAACATTCAAAAAAAAAAAAAAAAAAGATACATACTCATACAGCCAATAACAACAAAGTGCGCTGTAAATGGAAAATATTCAGCAATAAATGCTCTAACGGCATCTATACGGTATAGTTTGTAAGTATAAGTAAATGCTTTAGGTTTACCCAAATGTTGGAAATGGCATTTCTCAGATAAACTTCGTTCTCATGATTCAAGTCAGTGATCTTCCGATAAGGACAAGAGCAATGCAAACTGAACTCTGAACGGTTTTGGATTTGCTGAATTTATTACCATTGCGCTTCACTGTGTTGCAATAACAATAAAGCGAAAACAAGATCTTATCGTTGGCTGTTGATCTTGAAATTTTTACTGGCAAACAAACAATTCCTATTTTTGTTAGTAAAATAATTTTAGAAATCGTAAAAAACCACTTCACGTGTGAGCATTTTGGGATGTTCAACTGTTATGCAACGTAAACATTTACCCACGAAAAACAAAAATGAATTGATCACGATTGTAATAATAAATAAAACGTATGTGTTTTAGGCACGTGTTTACCGGTGCGATTATCGGTTGGTGTAATGGCATTTTTGATATGCTTCATTGCGTACATGGTGCGCGCTAATATTGCCATTGGTATGCTTGCAATGGTTAAGACCGGCAAAGTTGAACCAGACGTAAGTGTCGAATGATTTGAAGTGTCCTTTGATTTCAATGACCGTTTAAAGACATTGCATTGTATTCGAATGTTATCAGTTTGGACCGCGGTATGACTGGACGAAATCGGAACAATCATTGGTGCTGGGCGCCTTTTTTGCTGGATCATGTGTATCAACATTCCCTGCAGGCTTTCTTGCCGAATGGTACAAGCTAGAGACAAGATTTACCATTACCAAATAATGTTTCTAACTTCAAATTTTTTCTAGGTTTGGGGGACCGCTGACAACTACTATTGCATTGATTATCAGTTTAATTTTAACGGCTTTAACCCCAGCTATGTCTGACATTTCGGTTTGGGCACTTTATGCGAATAGATTAATTCTCGGCGTTGCTGGTGTAAGAGACATAATTTTTTTATTTTTATTTTATTTAACACCGCCAAACTCTGGCTGAATATAATAGAGGTTTGAATAAGTGTTTGGCGGATAATACCGAATATTTTCTTGAACCAATCATAAATCTCTTCTTTAAAAAAAAACAGGGTGTGTTCTTTCCAGCGCTCCATAGTGTCGTATCAAAATGGGCTCCACCCGATGAAAAGGGTAAATTCGTTGCGGCATTGCTTGGAGGAAATTTGGGTACAGTGTTTACATTCCAATTAACTGGCATCATCACCGGACTCTACGGCTGGCGTACGGTTTTCTATGGGCAAGCAGTGCTCGTGCTAATTATTACAATACTTTGGGTGGCTCTGGTCTCAGGAACTCCACGCTCACATCACTTCATTAGCGAGGAAGAAGTGCAATACATCGAAAATTCACTTGGATCGACTGTTTCCAAGGAGAAAAAAGTGCCACCGTATGGCAAAATATTTATGTCAATTCCCTTCATTGCGCTCATCATCCTTCACTACGGCAATCTGTGGGGTTTATTCTTTTTGCTGACCATTGCACCAGATTTCATGAACAGTTCACTTGGATTCGATTTGAAGAGCTCCGGTATATATTCAAGTTTACCACATTTGGCCCGGTTTTTGATGGGATTCCTGTTCGGTTGGATTGGTGATTGCTTGCGAAATCGCACAAATCCAACAATTATTCGAAAATCTTTCTGCATTTTTTGTGAGTTAGAAATTTCCCGCAAATATTTTCAAAATCTGATGAATACAATGTATTTTTAACATTTTCATCCATTAATTTCAGCTCATATCCTTCCTGGCGCTTTACTATTAGTGATTCCCTATATCAACGATACCTTTCTAATCATATCTATTCTAACAGCTTCGCTCGGTTTCAATGGAGCAGCTACTCTGACTAATCTTCAGAATACCCAGGATCTAGCTCCCAACTATGCGGGCACATTATATTCGATTATAAATTTTATTGGATTGTCTTCGGGATTCTTTGGACCACTTTTAAAAAATATATTTGAACAATATGGACCAAAAGTAAGTTTTTATTTAAAATTCAATATAATCGAAAGAAAGTCTAATTAAATGTGTATTTTTCTTCAAATTCAGTATGGGTTTGATCCTTGGTCCGCAATGTTCATAGTTGGAGGCTTCGGATATATTGTACCCGCGTTTTTATTCTGGTTCTTTGGAACAGCCAAAGTGCAGAGCTGGAACGCAATTAATAAACCAGCTATCACCGTACAAGAATCACAAGAGCCATCACAAGAACACCAAGAGCCGCAAGTGAAAAAAAGCCACGAAACTGGTGAAAATGGGGAGAAAATTATTCAAGATGAAGCAACGAAACTCTAAATAATTCTTGGAATGAAATTATCGAAGAAAATACGATTTTAAAAAAACCACTAGAAAGTTAGCACCCGCGCGAAACGATCATAATAAAATATTTAAAATTTATTTTCTCCGATTTTTTCTGATGTAATAATTGTAATGAATGTGCATGTGCACTGTGCAGTGTAATGTACAATTCTTGCAAAGACCCTGTGTGAAAAAATAGTAACTGAGCAGTCAGTTAACTAATTTGGGACAAAAATGACTTACTTTGATTGACATTTCAGTACAAAGTGTAGTGTAAGTCTATCATAGTTAACTGAAATCATTTGAAGTTACAAGTCAATCTAAGTTGCTTCATTTGGGACCAAGTGATTTTCTTAGAACAAAAATATAAATTCAATCAACTAAAGTCAACTGAAGTTATAGTCAGTCAGTCATTTCTTTTTCACACGGGACTCCAATTTGCTTGTCATCAATACTACGAGTGAAACATACTCTAATACGGTGAAATTTCTTGGCTGCTCCATTGGTGACCATGACTTTGGCCACTTCCGCTAGATGGCGCTAGCATATTTTATTATCGATTGCAGATAACGAATAAAATAATTTTCACACGTTGTTTTCCTACGAAACTTTTGATATTTCAATATTTTCCTCTAAAAATAATTTTTTGGTTAACAATTTATATAAAGAATTCAAAGTACATTTGTCTTTTTTATGGCTCTACGGGATATTTATTCGTCCCTAAGATTGTTTTCTTTAAAGCAAAAAAAAAACGTTCTCATACTCTGCATTAGAATAAGAAGCAACAAACATTTTATTTCGTTATTTAGACAGAAATTACCTTTCATATTTTGCATTTTCAGGGAAATATTCTGTCTGTTTCTCATCAAAAATATATTCTTTATTTTTTCTTCCATGGATTCACATTCATTCCATTCAAAATGCACATAAAATTGCCTACAACAATTCAGATCTAAAATCTAATTTTTCATAATATGCATTCTATAAAATCTTTGTCCGCTGAAACAAATTTGTCTAAATGAATCGGTCAAAAGACGAAAATGAAATAGCTAAATTATCATAATTCTATATATGGTATCCGAGTTTCGAAGTCAGTCGGTGAATGAACTTATGCATGCAAAATGATATAAATTATAATTAAAATTGGTCAGTAAATTACGACAATGCAATGGAATCTATTCTAATGATGTGATGCAATGCGATGACATTCCCTTCGTTTGAAATTAGTGTAAAAGAGAGCCTCATAATTTAAAGCTTGAATGATATTTTTGTGAACGGTTGTTTTTTATGGTCTGGATTTGTTTGTGATAATTTGTTTGTGTTGACTTAAAATACTTTTACAATTTATGACATTTGTTGTGCTTGGGATGAAAAAAAAAACAATTTGGGTGCTAAAAAAATAATTGAACTTGAATAGCGAGACTAGATTGAATATGTTCCATAGTTTGGGTATTTCAAAAACCCAAAATAAACAAATTTTTTACATATTCACATTTTCTTAACCTGAAATACATTTTTCCAATTTTCATGCTAATCTATCTGAATTGCACGCTATTCACAGTTTGTTGCATGTATACAAAACATTTTAATTTTATGATTACAGACCCTAACGCTAGAGTTGGATTTTTCTTATATTAATAAACAGTAGCTCCATTTTCACTTATATTTTCTTAGATTAATTAAAAGTTGTTAATTAAGCATTCCGTTTCCGTTTTTGTGCCGTCTTTTTACCGTGAGCAGCTTTGCTAGTACTTTGAATTGGAGCGTCGTCTTCACCGTATTCCGTGTTTATCGTCTTGCCTGAATTGCTGATGTTCACTCGTGATTTTGGGTCGTTCAAATGTTGATCGATTTTGTTGACTTCGTCTAAATGTCGCGTTCGTGATCGCAATTTAATTCGAATATCATCTTTCGAGCATATCACCGTACCGTTTTGCTCCGGATGCATGACTTTTAGTTGGACATTTTTAGTGTTTGTCAAAAGTAGTAGAGACAAAAAGTATCGTGCTGTGTATGTTTGGTCGCGTCCTTGCATCACATCGGTGAAACTGATTTCAGTTGGATTGCTTTCTTCCTCTGATGGGAACATATCGATGATATCCGTGCCCAGTGCATGTATGTCAAAATTGTTTCGCTTCTCGCAATTAGCCAGTACTGGACGTAGCATCTGATGCCATTTACTAACACGCTCTAACATATCAGTAAAACCTTCTGCTCGTGCAGTTTCCTCCTTTTGATCATCATTCGGATCTTCATCGATATGATCGTCTTCACAGTCTAATGGAAATTATGGTGAGAAAGATGAAATATTAGTACAAATAATGAAATAAGTAATTTCATCATAAAACTCACCGTCCAATGGTTTAGTATCTTCGTGTTGAGTTTCTCTGGTTTCTGCATCTTTTGCCGTGTCAAAATTTGTAGTTGCTTCCATATTATTTGTGTCATCTAGTCCAGCGCTTGATTCCAATTGGCTTTCTAACTCGCCAAAACCCGAATCAAATCCCGTTACAATCGATGCGGTTTCGTTAAATAATTTAGTGGAGTTTGCATTAACATTAGCGTCAGACAAACTCAGATCAGTCTCTTGTACAGATTCTTCTGCATTTTCAATTGTACCATTCAGTGTTTCTTGGCTCTCAGTAATTGTTCCGTCTGCCGAACTATTCAATTCGCCGATTGTACCGTTCAATTCAGCCACGCCCGAACCATTGACTTCCTCCGTGCCGCTCGGCACATTCGTTGGCGATTGATTGCATTCATCGCCGGTATTCAATGTTTTCTCAGGACTAATGCCTGAATCAGAAGAGCATGTTCGATTGGCAATTACAGCTGGGTTTTGTTCTAATACGATTGTACTGGGTGCCGTTATCATCTCGTTATTCTCGTCGAAGCCCAAAAATTCTTCGACATCACTGTCGGGGTCACATCGTATTATGACTCCATTGCTCAATTTGATCAGTTTTCCGCAGTTTGGTGGGTCTTTGTTGAGCATACCATACTTTCGCTTTCTCCCCGCCATCCACAATTCAAACTCCTCCGTTAGTGCGAAAATCTTATTTCGACGCAACAGATTTTCTGGCAATTGAAAGATATTCGTATCGAGTTCAGGCACTTTAGCTTTTAATATGACGGCTTCACCAGCTGCATTCAGCATTCCATTCAATTCATCAATTTCAACGCAGCCAACAATTTCCGTTGAATTGAAGCCTTCAAATGTTTCCAGATCTTCGAGTCGTGTTGGTGAATTGCATTCCGAAACTCCGATGCCATCGTCCAAACTTTGGCGCGAACTGATCCGCCCGTCGAGTTCTTTGGATGTTTCTAGACTTGAATTAGCTGCATCAACGCTTGTTTCCAACTCTGAATTGTTTGTCGCATTTGTCGTGTTAAGTGATTGTTCGGCCACCGAATCTGCATTCGTTGTGTTGACTGATTGTTCTCCCATTGGATCATCGTTCGATGAGTTAAGTGATTGTCCAGCGGTGGATGATTGTTCCATTGCTTCGTCCGATAGAATTGCACTAATGTCGAGCATATCTGCATCTCCTTTGGATGCATCATTTGTGCTTAGATCGGTCATTTGCAGACGCTGATCATCTCTCAATGTGCTCAATTCATCGAATCCGTTGGTGTTATCGCAATCGAAGTCTGGCACAGATGGTTCACAATCACGATCCATGTCATCATCCAAATCGATGCCAGAATCGTGTTCCGCAATTTTACCATCTTGTTTATTGCCATGCAAAATATTGTTCAAATAAGTGCCTACCTTCAGTTTGCTCAATTGTTCAATGGATAATTTTCGAAGATTTAGCCGTTCAACTTCCTCATTGTACTTGAGCATATTCAAATAATCATTGTTATCCTTTAACGTGATGCCATAGTTCTCTTTGATGTAATCGGCCGGCAGGTAGATGTTGGAATGCTTCTGATTGGCGCGTTCCATTGATCGTTTGTACTCTTGCTCGTATTTTGGGTCGGCTTGATTCCCAGTCATGGGTCGTGTGAATATTGGCTCGTCAATGGTGTCCATGAATATTCGAAAGTCACGCAACGAATCCAAATTATCACAATCGGTCTCCTCAATGCCGAGATTATCGTAAAATGTATTATTATTCTGAAGATTACTCTGCAGCACGTTAATTCGCGGAAAGACATTCTTCATTCGCAACTGATCGAATTCTTCTTCGCATTCGAGTTCACTGCGTTGCTCATGAAGATTCAGTGAAATTTGTTCCGACGAAACCATTTCGAAAGGTTTTGGTTTGAATTCCACACGGCTGGTCACTTTAAGCATACGCTTAGCTCGTTTCAACGCTCTCTCTTTCTCTCGTTCACGTTTCTCGCGCTGTTCTTCTGCCTTTTTGTTCTTTTTACCGCCATCATCTCCTGTTGCATTCTCACCGTCTCGTTCCCGTTCGGCCAGAGCTCTGGACACATTTGTTGCACTACGTTGATTAAAATCCAGTAGAATTTGTTCGAAATAATCCACTTTTCGGCCATAAATACGTGCTGCGTCAAAAATGAGAAAGGCCGCTTCACTAAAATTGATATCACTCCGTTGGCAGCGAAAGAATGTATCCAAATTGCCCTGTATATCAAAATCATAACACTGTTCTGCATGTTCGGCCACAGTGGCAAACTTCTGCACGATTTGTGAGCGTTCCATTTTCGTCGTCGTGTGTCGGATATCGATGAGTCCCACGCAGCCGTATCACATCACCAATCTCAAAACATAAACAAACACTTTTATTGTTTTCCTTTCGATTTTTACACTGATGATGTTGTTGATGATGTTGATTGTTTAATTTCTTCGACTTGGTTTAGCATTCGATTTACCCTGGTAATATGAATGCTTTTTCTTGTGATTTTTTCGACATGAGTTCATAATTTTTAGCATTTTGATGCGATATCAAATCCATTGAATTTTTTTCAGCACACTCGTAACATGTAAAATATCAAATGCAAATGTTACCGATTGTATTAGTCCGAACGAGAGAGAGAAATAAAAAACTCAAAACAAACATCAAAACACGAGTTAATCGTTTTCGAAATGCTTAGATTCTACACATTTAATCCAAGCTGTCGTCTATGCTTGTGAATTTTATTTCCTTTTTTGAAGCCAAATTATTTGTTCACATGCTTAAATTAATACACCACATATTTTGTATAATTTTCGAGTTATTTTTAGTTTTTCTAACACTTTTTCATCACTTTTCCATATTATTTTCATTTTTTGATGCGTTCGGCTTCACATTTCACGAATCCAATTGTAAATAAATCTATTCACAATATTCAGTTAATTTCACGATTTGCTCACTTTGGATATTTTGCTCGGTTTCACAGCGCGTCACTTCGGCAGCCATGACACTATTAGTCGTTAAAACCTTTCCCCTGTCTCGTTTTATTCAGCCCAGCCAAAACCAGTTCAGCAAATGTGAACGGATGGGATATTTCGAAACTAATTGACAGTTTGAAACGAGCGCTACACTTTGAATACTTTCCATATTGGTTTCAATACCTTCTGCTAAAGAAAAACTATCATGTTTTTAATATGTTATCAGAACTGAAATCTATGTTTTTAAATTATATTTTAATGGAAATAAAAAACAACGAAAATAAACAAAGAGTAATAACATAGGCATAGTCACTTCGCGAAATAACCGACGACAATTGAGTAACATAAAAATTTAACGATTGATTGGATATTTGTAAATTAATTACAATTCTAATGAGACTATAACCGCGATAAATCCTCATTTCATATTTTAAATGAAAAACTGAAAAAAAAAATCATAAAATTGTTGGGTGTTAGAGCCAAAAGTATTGAAATCCATCCGATAGATGGCCTTTAGTTCAGAAATTCCTAATGAAATACACAATCAATGGGTGAATAAAATGGAACAATCGGAAACGAAGCGCTTGGAATTGGAATACAGAGGGCGCTAAATAACTGATTTGATTCTGCATGAGTAAATATGCAGTCTGTGTTATTCAGTGAAGAAATTTTTGTAATCACAAACCGCTTTTTTTCAAATTTCGGATGAAAGTTGCCTTGAAAGAAAATAAAATAAAACATCATAGAGTGAGCATTGAAGGAACCGATTCCATCACTCTCATTCGCATTAGTTTAGAGCAATCAATCGGAAGCCGATTAAATGGATTCTGAGAATAAAATAATAATGTGAATTGTTCGAAATGCATCACATTAGGCATATAAAAAAAATGATAACACTGCCGCGCACAGTTTATACACAAGAGAAGCGGTGGGTATCTTTAGATTATTGATGACATGACATTAAAAAGCAATAAAAGGATGAGCCGCCCATATTCTGAGAACATTCATTATATGCACTGCACGCTGTTTGATGTTGTGCTTTCCACTCGCGCTCCCTCCAAAACCCGCAGCCATTGTCGATGCTATAGATGCATGTGTGTTGTTGTTTCTTCTACGCCTTCTCTGTCTTTCGCACACGCTCTCTCTCTCTCTCTCTCTCCGTTTCTATTTCTTTCCATCAAGATAGTTACGCGGTGCCGAGCAAAAGACGCAAATGAATTACTCGGTCTCAGTGATCAGCGACTGATGTGAACACGAATTAATCATTGTACATTGATTTCTGCGTTTCGTGAGCGCTGAACGGTAGCCTTCGTGTAAGTTACATACTGAAAAATGAAAAATGAAAAGAAGCTACTTCGATGTTCGGAAAATGAATGAAGATTTATACAAAAAAAACATATTGGAGCCTCGCAAAACCGTCTCAATTAGATTGTTCGATCTGATCAGTGGTTTCGGTTCGATCACACGTACCGAATGTGCATCTCTTCGATAAAACTTAAGAGCCGCCGCGCGAATGAGATGTGTCGATGGCGACGAGAAAGAATTACAGTGCAACGCATGGAAAAAGTTATATTATAAACGTACCGCACGCGTACCGAATCGAAACAGATAAATCGTAAACGCATTCGGAACCATAAATGGAACCAAGCAATGTATCTCTGTGAGTCTCTCTCTCTCTCTCTCTCTCTCTCTCTCTCTCTCTCTCTCTCTCT